CAATGTATATAACATAGAAGCACCCTTCCCGTCAGTTCATACAGATCCCCTACACATACACTGGATAGCGTGACCATTAAAGAACTCGATGTCTTTGGTCTACTAAATAAGCTTGACATAGGTAAATCCACGGGGCCCGATGAATTACATCCTAGGCTACTGAAGGAACTATCTAACTTCGTTGCGAACCGTTTAAGTATATGCTTTAATCTATCCGTAACGCAGGGTCGTTTACCAAAAGACTGGAAGGACGCCATAGTAAGTCCTGTCTTCAAAACAGGCACGAAACACAAACCTGAGAATTACCGCCCCGTTAGCCTAACTAGTGTGGTTGTGAAAATATTAGAAAAGATTATTTGAAATATGCTGTTTAAGTATCTCGATAAAGACCGGATCGTTTCGGAGAAGCAGTACGGTTTCAGAATAGGTTACTCTTGTCTCACTGACTTATTAGTGGCTCGTGAAGGCTGGTGCCCTCTTAAGGACCAAAAGTTACCTGTAGACATCGCCTTCATTGATTTCAGTAAAGCTTTTGACAAAGTTCCGCACAACCGGCTGTTATATAAGTTAAGACATGTCGGGATTGGAGGTAATTTATTGATGTGGATAAAAGACTTCTTAGTTGGGCGTCAACAAAGAGTAAGGGTGAACTCTAAGTTATCTTGCCGGGAAACTGTGTTTAGTGGAGTGCCCCAGGGTACAGTTTTGGGGCCATAGCTATTCCTCTTGTAAGTAAATGACCTTCCTCGTCTCCTATCATCATCGGTCTTGCTATATGCTGACGATGTCAAGATATGGAGAACGATACGATGTAAGAGTGATAGCTTAGAACTTCAAAATGACCTGAAGAAGTTATCTGAATGGTCTCAAACCTGGCAGTTGCCGATAAATACTTCCAAGTGTGTTGTGATGCATATCGGTTTTCAAGGTACAGATACATACACGATGAATAACACTGAGCTACCTGTCGTCCAGACATATAATGACTTAGGAGTCATCGTCAGTCAAGACCTAAAGACTACTGCACACTGCCGTGCAATAGCCGCCGAAGGTTTTAGAACGTTATGGTCAATACGTAGGGCTTTTAGTCATGTCGACGCTAAGACGTTTTTGACTTTGTATATAGTGTTCGTAACTCCGCCTGGAGTCCCTCCGGGGGCTACTGCCGGTTCCAAGCCCGGATAAAGGAGGAGGGTTGGGCATGGGGTTAGCGTCCGCATCCCGTAGAAAAATAACTCGCTAAAAAAACGCTAACCAGAAAAAATTATTCAAACCTTTTAAACTCTGCCCTGGGAGTCAGAAGGTCTTCATTTAGAAGAATTATGACGCCTCATGATGAAAGCCGAATTCGTTCGGAAGTTACGAGGCCGATGCTCCTTCTGACAACCAGAGCGACCATTTATTTAGGTACACGGAATGTTCGTACAATGTGGGACACCGGGAGAGCCTTCCAAATTGCTGCAGAAATGAGAAGATACAACCTAGAGGTACTTGGGATCAGTGAAACACATTGGACACAAGTTGGACAACAACGACTTACTACAAGACAGCTCCTGTTATACTCCGACCATGATGAAGAAAATGCTCCACATACACAAGGAGTTGCATTGATGCTGTCCAAACAAGCACAAAATGCGCCTATAGGATGGGAATCTCATGGACCAAGGATCATCAAAGCCTCGTTCAAAACAAAGAAAGAGGGTATTTCAATGAACATCATCCAATGCTATGCGCCTATCAACGACTACAATGAAGACGCTAAAGATCAATTCTACAATAGGCTGCAGTCAATCATCGAGAAGTGCCCAACAAAGGACCTGACCATTCTGATGGGAGATTTCAACACCAAGGTTGGAACGAACAACACTGGATATGAAGACATCATGGGACGACACGGACTGGGAGAAAGAAACGAAAATAGTGAGAGATTTGCAAATCTATGTGCCTTCAATAAACGGTCATAGGTAGTACCATATTCCCACATAAGCGCATTCACAAAGCCACATGCACTTCACCGGATCACACTACGCAGAACCAAATCGACCATATCTGCATCAACAAAAAGTTCAGGAGGACGTGAGAACCAAGAGAGGAGCTGATATAGCCTCAGATTATCACTTACTGGTCGCCAAGATGAAATCGAAACTCAAGAAGCACTGGACAATGTGGCGGACAACATCACAAATGTTCAATACGGCTTTTCTTCAGGACATTGACAAACTCAACAAATCCAAGATAGTCCTCAGCAATAAGTTCCAGGCCTTTCATGATCTACTCAATGGAGAAGGAACTACTATGGAGAGCAACTGGAAGGGGATCAAAGAGGCAATCACTTCAATATGTCATGAGGTCCTGGGTCACAAGAAGCACCACCACAAGGAATGGATCACTGTTGATACACTAGATAAGATTCAAGAAAGAAGGAACAAGAAAGCAGCAATCAATACCAGCCGAACAAGAGCAGAAAAAGCCAAGGCACAAGCTGAATACACAGAAGTAAACAAACAAGTGAAGAGTGGCATCAGAACCGACAAACGTAAATATGTGGAAGATTTAGCAACGACGGCGGAAAAGGCTGCAAGAGAAGGAAACGTGAGACAATTGTATGACACGACAAAGAAACTCTCTGGACATCGCCGCAAACCAGAACGACCAGTGAAAAGCAAAGAAGGCAAGGTAATCACCAACATTGAGGAGCAACAAAACAGGTGGGTAGAACACTTCAAAGAACTCTTGAATCGACCAGCTCCACTGAACCCACCCAACATCGAAGCAGCACCCACGGACCTCCCAATCAATGTTGGCCCAGCAACAATTGAAGAAATCAGAATAGCCATCAGATAAATCAAGAGTGGCAAAGCAGCAGGACCGGACAACATCCCAGCAGAGGCATTAAAAGCAGACGTGGCGGTAACTGCAAGGATACTCCACATTCTCTTCAATAAGATTTAGGATGAGGAACAAGTACCAAAAGACTGGAAAGAAGGACACCTGATCAAAATACCGAAGAAAGGCGATCTCAGCAAGTGTGATAACTACAGGGGCATCACTCTTCTTTCAATACCGGGAAAAGTCTTCAACAGGGTATTGTTAAACAGGATGAAGGACTGCATAGACGCACAACTTCGTGACCAACAGGCGGGATTCCGTAAGGATAGATCGTGTAAAGACCAAGTCGCAACTCTACGGATCATTGTGGAACAATCAATTGAATGGAATTCATCACTCTACATCAACTTCATTGACTACGAAAAGGCATTTGATAACGTGAACAGAACAACACTATGGAAACTTCTTCGACACTACGGCGTGCCTCAGAAGATAGTCAATATCATACAGAACTCATATGATGGATTACACTGCAAAATTGTGCATGAAGGACAGTTGACAAAGTCGTTCGAAGTGAAGACCGGTGTCAGGCAAGGTTGCTTACTCTCACTCTTTCTCTTTCTCCTGGTGATCGACTGGATCATGAAGACGTCAACGTCTGAAGGAAAGCGCGGGATACAATGGACATCTAAGGTGCAGCTGGATGATCTAGACTTCGCAGACGATCTGGCCCTTCTATCCCAAACGCAGCAACAGATGCAGGAGAAGACGAACATTGTGGCAGCAGCCTCAGCAGCAGTAGGTCTCAATATGCACAAAGGGAAAAGCAGGATCCTCCGATACAACACAGAATGCAGCAGTCGAGTCACAATTGACGGGGAAGATTTGGAAGATGTAAAAACCTTTACATATTTGGGCAGCATCATTGATGAACAGGGTGGATCTGATGCAGATGTGAAGGCGCGGATCGGCAAAGCAAGAGCAGCATATTTACAACTGAAGAACATCTGGAGCTCAAAGCAACTGTCAACCAACACCAAGGTCAGGATTTTCAATACAAATGTCAAGACAGTTCTACTGTATGGGGCAGAAACTTGGAGAACTACGAAAGCCATCATCCAGAAAATACAGGTGTTTATTAACAATTGTCTACACAAAATACTTCAGATCCATTGGCCGGACACTATTAGCAACAACGTACTGTGGGAAAGAACAAACCATATCCCAGCCGAGGAAGAAATCAGGAAGAAGCGCTGGAAGTGGATAGGACACACATTGAGGAAAGCACCCAACTGCATCACAAGACAAGCCCTCACATGGAATCCTGAAGGTCAAAGGAAAAGAGGAAGACCAAAGAACACATTACGCCGAGAAATGGAGATAGACATGAGAAAAATGAACAAAAATTGGATGGAACTAGAAAAGAAGGCCCAGGACAGAGTGGGTTGGAGAGTGCTGGTCGGTGGCCTATGCTCCATTGGGAGTAACAGGCGTAAGTAAGTAAGTAAAAGTAATACAGTGTTCGTACGTCCTAAACTTGAGTACTGCATACAAGCGGCTAGCCCCTGCCTAAAATAAGAAAGTGAGCTTCTGGAAAAGGTTCAGAGAACGGCAACTAAGCTGATCCCCGGAACAGCGAAGCTTCCGTATGATGCTCGACTGGCCAAGCTAAACCTTTTCCCGTTGTCATATCGTAGAACTAGAGGCGACTTGATTACAGTTTTCAAATTGCTTAGTGATAAATTCGCACCTGATATGCCCTCATTTTTCTTGTCTTCCAAAACAGAGAATTTACGAGGACACTCCAAAATGTTCACAAGCCCAGAACAAATTACTTGTCAGCTGACTATCGATTTTCCCATCGAATCATCAACGAGTGGAATTCATTACCTCAGCACGTGTTTGAGGCACGATCCGTCGACTCTTTCAAAAGAAAGTTGGATCAACTGAGAGACCACCATTGCCAGGACTAACACAGGCCATCAAGCCTCCTGTCCTTTCCAAACTGAAACTGGATGAGGTAGTATCCACACTCACTTGATTCATTCAAAGGAGATTCAATTACAAACGGAAATGTAATCGTTAATTATTTACAAAAGCCTTCGAACTTCTCTTTTAAAGCAAGCATTTGGATATGAGATATAATGGTCCAAAACTTTGCTTTTAGTACATCGATTGCTTGCCTGAAGGTCAAATACACGTAAACACCGCGATGAACTGGGTCTTGTTTAGTTTCGTGAGCGTGTTTGTGAAGCTTGGTATGCATCGTCATCATTTTACAACTAATAACGCATTCTCAAAGCCCTTTCTTGTGACGAGTTTGACGTCAGGCCGGTTACTTACTCTTCAAGCGAAGCAGTTCTCTCCACTGAAACCGTAATTTTGATTGAAGGTGAAGCCAAATGTAAAGAAAAAGGAGTAAGACTTCATATTTATCTGATGATTGTTTACAGTCATCAAATTTGTACGCCGAGTTAAATGGAGTCCTTCAACCAGTTGCCCGTCATATTGAAACTGACAATTTTCAAGTAGATTCCTAACATTTTGTTTATAATATTAACTTGATTACGCTAGGTATCGTTCGTCTTTAATCACAAAGATGTGCCTAAGGGAGAATATACTGTCCGGTTTTACAATGAAAAAGGTGTAACGGCTTATCTGAGATCTTCGAAGGGTGGTTTTGTATCCGGCGTACCGCCTGTCTTCACAGTCACCGTTCGACATAAGGTAATAAAATATTCACTAATACTTTATTTTGTAGGGAATCTCATTCAAGCCTGTTGTTTATTCCGAAACAGTGGCACTATTGACGATTATGTTGATAGCATTTGGAGCTATAATTACGAAAAACAAATTCTAGAGCTATTTTTGACACATTAAGTATTTAATTATATATGTACATTGTTTTTCCTACCAAACAGCCGTTGTATAGTAATTATAAACCTTCATTCATAAATGTTGTTGGATTTCTTGGATTGGTTATGAGGTGTAAAAACAACAGCTGTGTAGAGGGTTAGTAGTATTAATGTGGTCATTTATTTATTTTATTTGAGCATATAAATATCGGTACAAAGGGGAGCCGGATACATATGCGCCACACAAGTCACTTTATTTGTGTGTGTGAGTTGTGATACTGCCCGGGTGCCCAGACCGAAGCAGGTGGTTTTCTTAGGGGGCCACACCCGGAGCCGTCGACCTAAAGGTCTAATCCACAAGGCAGTCGAACGACGTCAGGAGATGCAGTGCCATGGTAGACGGTGACCAACGATTGCTTCATACGCCATTTGTTCCTTCAAGATCCCGGAGTCCATATGACCATTGGTTTGGAATCAGGGTTTTTCGACCCCCGCCCCCTAGGTAGATTCTCCATATCCGTCAACCGGGTTAAAGCGCCTGACATTCGCTTTTCGTCCTCTCGATTTCGTAAAGAACACTTGTGGTGCGATAAGGCAGTGAGTAGAACTTTCCTAACAGTGATTGTGTACCTGTGGCCATGTGAGAGCATTTCGCAAGGGAGAGCTAAATCCCTCCACCCTCAGTCGTATCAGGGCTAATGTGATCATATAAACTTCAAGTGGATTACTGTAAAAATCGTCTTGTCAAATTGACTTTGGGGATTATTTTAGAGGGTCTTATTCCCAGATCTTTTTGTAATTACAGTATACCAGACTGGATTTCGTGGAAATCTCAAAAATGTACTAAATTCTTGTAGATGTAAATCTTCAACTGAATTGGCAAATAGATATATTCTGAATCACCATCTATTTTGGCATACTCTAATGCATTGTGTAGAAGTAGGTCGTATATGTAACGTTAGTATCTAAACCAAAATGTTACAACAATTAATATAGTCATCAACCGCTTCTGTAAAAATTGTGTTTCACTAAACGGACTTTACAGTCATTAGGTTCAAAAAAGCCACAGTTAGTGAAGTGCGTTAATCTATTTACTTGGTCCTTTTATGAATTCTATGGCATATACGTAGAGGCGGCTTCGTTCTTTACCATAAAATTATCTTCAGCTTCGTAAGTTCTATTCATCACTGTTTGACAAAATGCATTGAATACTTGTTTTTCCCTTGTAATTTATATCCAAGAAACTAATTAGGATGGTGAGCGTTTAGAAAATCAGTTTTTTACCTACATTTTTATGTCCGTACGTAATTTCCTGCGAACTACGTATCAATCAATTTAGAAGTTAACAACCAATTAAATTTATACTTGTTAAAAATCGATGTGAAAAACGGGTTTTCATTGAGTGCAGTTGTTAGTTCTTTTCATACTTTAGTATTGTCTTTTCAGTAGTCGCAAATACGGTCCGTTGGTTGGTTAAAACGTCTCTGACTTGAACATTCAGCGGTATGGGTTTGCATCCCACAGAAAGCACAAATCCCCTGAATATCCTAGTTGCGTCGTACTGATAAGCGTTAACAGTTTCAAAGTATCTTCTAGACCAGATAATCTATCGTGAATTTCTGATACGAAATTATGTTAGGGTAGTAAAGTGTTTTAAAATTACGTTATCCTATTGTTATCCGAGCTAATTGTGCTTGTTTAGTGTATTCTGTTGGGAAAACAACTGGATCATATTTGTATTATGTATATGTGCGATGATATGAAGCAGTGATGTTGTTGTAATAATAATTGTTCTATCAATACTTGGAACCGGGAGCTATTGTGACGTTTAGAACGAAAAATAAGAACGAGAGAAATGGTGCAAATGAATACTTTAATGGCCCTACAAAATGCGTCCATGAAAGACACTCATTTACATACATATGATTCTGCACACACTTTATGATTAGTTGGTAAATCAATTATATAAGTCAGTGATGAATTATATTTCACAGCGAAGTCAGTTATTTTATCACCCGCGGATTCTATGAGCATTGGGTTATTGATTAGTTACTGGTCCAATTTATTGATCGGCCAAAACATTTAAAAGGATATTTAAATTACTATTTCGGATGTCGTCCAATTAGTTGTTAAAAAATAAGTCAACCTGCTTTCACAGTCTTGTTCTCTTCCTCCCATCAACAAAGCAGCCACGTTCCGCCGCATTGTGTCAGGTAGAGACATATCACAGTCTTCGCAAACAGTCGTATCAGAATTAGTAATTAGCGTCTAGTTTCAACTCGCAAGCTTAACAGTTTAGTTATATTTCAAGACATAACAATCACACAAGAAGTCCATGAATTTACAACAAAAACATACTGACTCAATACTGAATTGATGTAGAGAACCTGGAACAAACGAGATACTCTTCACTCCTTGAGTTGAAACTTATTTTAATGGTGACCAGAGTAGTATTACTAGTCCGGTGACTTGTGTGGCGCATATGTATTCGGTTCCTACTTGTACCAGTTTTTATGTGTTTAAATAATAAAAATAAGTATGGGAACACTAGCCAATACGTTATTCTAACATGTCTTGTACTCTGTTTGTCTGCCAATAATTAACTATACAATAAGTTTTTAGTGTTTTGACCAAATCTAACCTGGTAATATGTTCCATTATTCATCCCTATTTAATTTATCATATAATTTTACTGATGAAAGAACTGAAATATTTGGTTTTGATTTATCTAATGAATCACACACAGTACTGTACTTATTTATTGTTTCTAGTAAGACGGTCTTATGATTCAACATTCCGGTCGGTGATTTTAAAACTTACCAAGTTTTGGATGGAGTAGATAGTTCCAAAGATTTAAGATAACTATCCACGAGTATATTTTGTGTAACATTAAAATATCCGTCTACCAATAGCCTTCAAAGGTCTAGGAAATAGTAGGAAACATATAATCTACACAAATGGATAAACCAAAAACGGGAATGCCGAGTAACCGTGAAAACGCATAAAATTTTCATATACCGTTGCCTTTTTTCGATATTGACAAAATAAATGAAGGCAAAGAAAGATAAGTAGAAGAAATTACATATGTTATAGGTTTCATTACAGAAGTATCAACAGTAGAAAAGGCTTGTAACTCCTCTGGAGTGTTCAGTTGCTTATCGTGCTTAAAGACAGATTTAATGTTTTTAAACTTTATCAGATTGAGTGTAAAACAATTCGACAATGACTAAATCTCCCTATTTACTAAAATCCCATTTATTTAAAAGCAATCAGAGGAGGAAGAAACAGGTGTACATTCAGTCATGCAAAAAATACTTTTCTTCAAAAGTAACTTATAACTGTTATATCCCTATAAGAATAATGAATGGTAACTTTGGGATCCATTTATGAACCAATACTATGACTATATTTTTATCGTATGATTGTTATGTAACTAAACTATTCATATTCATGTCCCTCTTATTATGAGCTTCATTTTGACCCATAAACTATTATTATACGATTTACCATTCTTGAGTTATGGCCTGTCTATTAATCACTACCTACCACATTCACAGCCTCATTTGGTTAAATCTTGTACAAATGTTGTTTCCTATTTTATGGTGCGTTGTGGTCTGTTTGATTGGTATGTAAACCCCGTATGGTTAAAATACAGGATTCATATTGCAGAGGCTTAGATTTGTGTTCTGGACTTAACTGACTGGGCTAGACAGGAAGCAGGACCAATAAGTACTCTAGGCTGTTCTCACGTGTTTTATGCGTCACTGGTTCGATCGATAATTCGCTGCTCTCTGATTGGCGGTATCGTTGCGTTATACAATAAACAGAGCACATAGGTTCAAAAGTTATAACAATAACTAATATTTCTCAAGTTTTTATTATTCATCTAGATGATAGTGTAGTCAATTCAGTGTAATTCACTTCCTTAATGAGAATAATGAAACACTTAACTTCCTTATCTGTTTAAAAACGTGAAACTTATAATCCAGAAAAGTATTTCGAAATAACCATGTGGTTACTTATGAGTAGTTAAATGTTTTTTTATGAGAAAGTTCACTTATCAGCTTGTTCAATATGGACGTTTGACTTCTAAATGTTAGTAAATTTGCTAAGATCTCATTTTTGGAGGCTGGAAATATATGCCAGATAAATAATCTGATGAAAAAATCTGCTTATTTTCTAGTAGGCAAACTTATGTTGATTGGAATTTATAACATGGAATTAGTATTAATGGATAAAACAAATCAATAAATGAATCATGAAATTTTGATGGAGTTTTGTTCTCTGAGTTGGATCGTTTGGTCGTGGAGCTTTCATCGTTCTTCTGAACGACATCATCAGCACACTATCTCAGAATCATAGGATCACCTATGATGTCTAAGAGACTAATAGTCAAAGACATAACGACAAAGTCAAATATTATCGCGTGATTATTCAAGTGCATCAATGAAAGTCCCTGTTAAAAAGTATTATCAGTAATAGAACTAATGTAATTTATAAACTTTGATTAAGAATATACATATTTTGTTATTTAATAATTAAATTCATGAATCAGTTGAAACTAGACCACCATGGAAAACCTGGCAGCACTGGATGGCTGTTTCGTCCTAGTATGTTATGCTGTTTATTAACAACGAACTCAAATTATAAGTCGTTAACATAACATTAAAATCCCATTCATTGAATTTTATGTTGAAGGTTAAACATGATGTTAAAAATTCATCTCATGGCAACGTAGAATTGATCAGTCAATGTAACAGTGTTGTTTTTTTGCAACAACAATGAAAACTATCGGTTAAGTTGTATATAAATATAATTTTATGTGAAATTTTATTTGAATCACTACTCACATCTCCTGGGATCACCGGGTTAGTAATAGTGAGGTTAGACGCAGAGTATTGGGAATTATGGTAGATCAGTTGATGAGGTTGTGAATCTTCATCGACTGAGATGGTTGGGACACGTGTTACGTATGCCCGAACACCGATTACCACGACGTCCAATGCTAACCGGTGTTGGAGATGGTTGGAAGAAAGTTAGGGGCGGCCAAACCAAAACGTGGCATCAGTGCTTGAAGACACTAACTTCTAGTTTGAGC